CTTAAGACCATATTAGATGGTAACAACTCTCAGGGAGCCAAAGCACTCAGTGTGGTGAGGGTAGGGGATGCTATTGAGTGAGAAGCAGTACCTCTCAGACCCTACTAAGGACCAATAGCTGGGAGAGGATACTGTGTAAGGAGAGGATTAAGTAAAGAGCTGTGGGTGTGAGTCTAAAGGCATTTGCTGGTTTCATATAAATACCAATATAGATACTGAACCATGATTGGTTAAAAAGTCTGTTTGTTAATTATGGTTATTTAAAGCAGAGCGGGTCATTTTCTTGTTGTATGTTCGTTTCCAGTATTCTGAACACTTTTTCCAGCTGCCAAACCTTAACAACAAATCCACAAAAATGCCTAGGATTATATAATTATTCCATTGAAGGGTGCTGTTATGAGTGTTATATTGAAATGCTACAATATGGATGTGTTGTATGAGTGTGAGAGAAGGGAAACTGAGTGAACGAAGGAATAGAGTAATGCGAAGGAAAATACTTGCCAAGAATGTGTGGTTCTTAATTTGACATCTATATTTCCACTCTTACTTCCATAATCTTGATACTTCTCTTGTCATCAGGAATAAAAGATCACATCATTTAGTAACTTTCCTTCTGTTTGTAAGAGGTTCCAAATCCTGCAAATAGAGAAGAGAAAGGCCCTGTGTTGGAAAGAAAATTATGGGAAAAGATGTGTCCTAGTTAAGTGCTTTAAGGCACTAGCCACCTTGTGAACACACAGCATTAAGGAACTTTATGCTGATGGAGTACTCGGTCCGTGTTACTTGCTAGATTTATTGGGCAACACACACAATACTTTGATTGTAAACAGGTTACATAATATGCTGGGAAAATGCAAATGTGCTTCAGCAATCAGAAAAAGAAACATTTGGTAAGGTTCCCTTCTTGGACTGTGCCAGATTTACAATGAAATCAGTAACTAAACTTTCCAAGACAAGCTATAAAAATTTGTTCTTAGCAAATCCAAGATACAGACCAGATAAAATGATTGAACATCACAGTACAGCAAGAAGCTCATTGTGTAGGAGATGACAACTCCAGAACAGAAAATCCTAAAATCAGAAGGACCATCACTAAAGCTTGTGACCTTTCATTCTTATCAAGATTATGGAAGCAAGAATGGAAAATATGAATGTCAAATTATAAAACCCAAGTTCATCAATAGCCTGAATGCTTTTTTGTCCTTCCTGGTATTTTGCAAATTCTTTTTTTTGAATGTTACTACTGAATCACCTTCTAATGCACTTTCATTTCAGGCAGTGTATTTAAGTTCAAAACTTCTAAAAAAAAGAATAAATTTCTTCATGCTCCTTTGATTATCTTGTCACTCATGTTAAATCATTGCCCTTTGATTACCAATCATTTTGCCAATGGAAACAGTTTTATTCTTCTTTATTAAAACTATTCAAGATTTTAAATACCTTCTTCAAATCACCTGAACTTCTCTGCCTCAGCCTCCCCAATCGTGGCATCAGGGTGTCCCATATTGGGGGTCAGGAATCCAAATGTGTTGCAAATTCTGAGGCCAAGATGGCTAATGGCTACTGCCTACTGCCTACCACCTCCCACCCACCCAGCCCTCACCAAGGAGCCCCAACAATTTTCAAGCCTTGAGATAGTCACAGTGGGAGAAAGAGGTTTGAGAAGCATTACCTATAAATGATCAAAAATTGCTGACAACGTCTTCTGCACCCTCTCTAGGGCCTTGATATCCTTCCTAAAAAAAAAATGAAAGCAATACTCGGCTGTAGCCTACCTAATGTTTTTGGTTTAGCAAATCCTCCTACTTTTGTAATCTATTCCACTATTAATATAGCCAAGGATCCCAGATGCTTTTAAAAGCACAAATCAGAACTTACCATGCCATCTTTAAAATTTTGTAAAGCTTCCGCTCGAACTGTCTCTGCTCCAATACTCCGAGTTGAAGAGATATATAGCACAGAAGCAGACCCTTTGGTCCAACTCATCCATGCCGACCAGATATCCTAAATAAATCTAGTGCCAGTTGCCAGCATTTGGCCCATATCCCTCTTAAATCCTTCCTATTGATATACCATCGAGATGCTTTTAAATGCAGCCTCCACCAGTTCTTTTGGCAGCACATTCCATACATGCACCACTGTCTGTGTGGAAAAAGTTGCCCCTTATGTCCCTTTTAAATCTTTCCCCTCTCACCTTAAACCTGTGCCCTTTGGTTTTGGACTTCCCCATCCCAGGAAAATGATCTTGTTTACCCTATCCATGCCCCTCATGATTTTATAAACCTCTTTCAGCCCCAGCCTACTCAGCCTTTCCGTATAGCTCAAATCCGGGAACCCTGGCAATAACCTTGTAAATCTTTTCTGAACCTTTTCAAGTTTCAAACCATCCTTCCTATGTCAGGAAGACCAGAATTGCACGCAGTATTCCAATACTGGCCTAAACAATATCCTGTACAGCCACAACATGACCTCCTAACTCCTATACCCAGTGCACAGACCAATAATGGTAAGCATACCAAACAACTCCTTCACTATCCTATCTACCTACGACTCCACTTTCAAGGAACTATGAGCCTGTACTCCAAGGTCTCTTTATTCAACAACATTCCCCAGGACCTTGCTATTAAGTGTGTAAGTCTTGCCCTGATTGGCACTTCCTTTAGTAATATGCCATTAAGTTTGTATACTGACCTCTGGTATTCCTATCAAGATGTATCACTTTACATTTCTGTACATTAAATTTCATCTGTCATGTGTCTGCCCATTTTACCAAACCTCCCATTTTCTCCTGAAAGCTGTTACTAACCTCTTCACTGTTTGCTATATTTCTGAACTTTATATTGTCCACGCATTTTAAGGTTATGCCCTGTTATTCCAAATCCAGCTCATTGTTTTATGTTAAAAACAGCAGCATTCTTTGGAAAATGCTGCTGCAAATGTCTCTCTCTAATCTGAAAATCAACTATATACCACTACTGCCTTCTTTTACTTACCCAATTTTGTACCTATGCTGCTATAGTTCTTCTTAATCCTTTTGGATTTGAATATGTCTTCCTTTTTACAGCTACATTGGTAGCATTCTAGTACTGACACATGCAAAATATTTGTTCCGTGCTTCAACAATGCCCTCTGTCGCCACAAAAATCTCTAATTCTTTTGCCATTAATCAACCCTATCCATGTTTGATCTATCTGTTTCTGTGTTTACAGTAGATTTTGGTTCTGTTTTATGTTAATCACCAATCTATTTACATTCCATATGGACTGTACTTATAGGCTAGGTCAACTATATTCATCGCTCTTGTGTCGTATGCTCTATTCCATAACAGCCCTCTTCTCAAAAAAAGGACATGCAGTACGAATTCAAAAGCCTGACTGTCAGATGAGGCTTGCCTGACCTGTTATTTTCCACCCAAGAAATGAAATACATCTTTTGGATAGACACCAACCTGACAGTCAGCATGATAATTCCTCCGTACCTAATTCCATGCATTCCCGGCACATAATGATCTAAGTGTTAAGAATGTCCATCAGCATATTTTAATAAGCTGAAGTCAGTTATAATGGAAGTGCTTCTGATGCAGGAACAGCTTCCATCCAATTCGATTATGTTGCTGGCTGCTGAGCATCTGGGCTTAGCCGTGATGAATCACCAATTATGCTAGTTAAGCAAGAGTTTCTGCCATCTAACTTTGAAGTGTTTGGCAGATACCCATGTGAATGAAGAAAACGCGGAATGAAGACACAAAACTAAGGCTAAATCTTAACTTTTCAATGTCTCTAAGTCATCTCATAGGATGCTTTATGACTGCATCTTACTGAGGCTGTTAGGCTAAATATACTCAACTACGTGTGGTATCTTTCACTGTGTTAGTCATGAGGATTGAATAAATAAAAATCTCACAGCCTGTGATTATTTTAATTATTTTAATTAAAATTATTTTAATCTTGTTAAGCTGTTTGCTGAGATCATGGCTAATCTGTGACCTAATTCCATGAACCTGCCTTTGCCCCATATTCCTTAATGTAATGGAAATCTTATCAATTTAGGATTTAATAATTGACCTTGCAAGAACTGTTCTTTATAGAGTGAAGTAAATTAAATTGGATGAGTTCGAAACAATGAAGGTATTAGATGGTCATGGAATTGGGAAGTGAGTTATCTAGGGTCACATCCAAGAGCAAATCCTTTTAACTTTGAATTTTACTTTGTTTGTCAAACACATAATCTTGGGTTGTTAGCTTTGTTTCCTGGTTATTCCCAATTTTCCATCAACTTGTGGCAATTCACACTCTGTTAAAGAAGAAAAATATTTTATCCCTCTTTAGTTTGAAAGAAAGGCTTGGTGAGATTCTGTGAAAAAGTACAGAGATGTCTTACATAATACAATTTACTGTAGCAGAATGTCTTGTGAATCTAATTGCTCCCTTTAAGGTACAAAGCCATTGCTCCAATATTTATTGGAAACTGCAGTTCATTTCCCTCTTTCATATCTATTGCTATGGCTTCCCTAAAAACTGTTTCATGATTTTGCTTTTAGCAACAACAAATCAGCAGTCCTCATCACAGTTGCCCTTGGTAAACAACATGTAAATAAATATATCACCATGACATTTTATGTGAAACCCTTTATCAGTTTTTTAATTGCAATATTGAAAATAAATCATGATTGAATTATGATTTCGGTCCTTTTGGTAGCTGGCTTTGATTACATTTGAGATGTTTGTGATGTAGATTATCTACAATCAGTTGTGAAGTGGGTTTAAAGAATAAATATGAATAATATTTGACACTTTTCATATTTACTCTAACATGAGACAGAATATAGTGATCCAAATGTTTTTAACATTTAAGATGACTCGGCTGCTTTCTTCTGTAACCATAGAAAAATCTTAGAAACACCATGAGTTTCAGGAGAATTTAATTTCTTTACCTTAATCTAAATAGTAGTATAGTTATTGATTCACTGTCAATGGTGACTATTAATATGTTTGATTTAGATTTTTATCCACAACCCACACACACGTAGCCAGCACTTTGTCTCCAACAACTTATTGCAAGGTGGCTTGGATTCCAATACCTCCCTTCTGAACATAAACCAGAATGTTAGCTGTCTAACAGCGGGAGTACTAAATCCCGGACTTCGCCGTGACATGCTGCTTGTTGGTACACAGACTAACCTGCTGGCTTATGATGTACATAACAACTCTGATGTCTTTTACAAGGAGGTAAGGTTCTACCTAATCGTGTCATCTCTCAGAGAGTGTATTCTATAAATTTAAGGAAACAAAGCATTATTCCGATTTAAAGTTCCTTTTTTTGTGGTGAGAAAAGACACAGTTTGATTATATCAAATAAAATTTTGCCACTGCATGGTGCTGTATTACTGTGTGTTTAAAAGAAAATGTTTGTATTCCTTTTCCCTGATCCAGCTACTGTTCCCGATAATGTGAGATGGATTGCCATCAAAATCCTTAATTTCTTTCTCACTCAGCAATTTTGTTGCGCTATTTTTTTCCCCTGATAATTTGTTTTTTTTTGGGTTTGTTGAAAGTAGCAGAGCCACTTGTAAGAATGTTCCCATGCTGTGTGCTGGATACCAAATACTTTTTCTTTTCAGATACCTTCTTGCTTGACCCAGTGACCGCCTTCTTGAATTCAACTTCTCCAATCTCTCTCTACTTCTTTGATTATTTAGAAAGAAATCTGATGAAGAACTGAGTTTTTATCTGCCTCTGTTTCATCACTGCTTGAGGGATAAAGTGGGAAATATGGTAAAATGCAACTCTTAAGGTGTGACCACATGACCACAAGGTCTGAATTCAGTTTAGCCCTTCAGTAAGCTGCCCAATTTCAGTCACAGAACCCACCATGATGCACTACTATTTCGTTATTGTATGGTTGGTTTGAACATTCAACTGTGGACAAAGCGCACTTCCAAGGCAACTGTAAGGTTAGTCATGGATTTACCATTACCTTTTCTGCATTACCATCATGAAAAATATGAAGGTAACACTCTATTCATCATTTACTCTAAATTCTGAGAGCCAAACTGAACCCACTGCATCCAAATGTCTTTTCACTTTAACCTACATATCTGCAACATTGGCTGCATGCCCTTGAGTCTTAACTCTGACTATTTGCATAATTTACATCATTGCTATGTTCTGTCTGCCCATTTGGCAACTCAAGGCAACATGTTTGTTGGATCCTCAATTTCTAGACAATTGGTATATCTGCTAGCATCCTTAAGGTATGTGTCTCTACATATTACATAACGTGTTTTACTCTCCGCTTAGATCTCTTTCAGATTGGAATTCTACTCATATGTATCATACTTCTAAGAAGACAGTAACCCCTACATGGATCTGTTTTTTTTTACAAACTAATGAATATTTGTCCTAACTCAAAACTATCAATCACCTTGCAAGTTTTAATACAAACTATGATAACCACTGTGATTTTTACCACTCGTGATCTTGTGTTTGTTACTTAGCTCTGCAGTGCTGTTTTTAAAACTGTTTCTTGTTCTATTTTTGTCGGTATATTATGTTTAAAGCATTTGGCTGAACTTTGCACTATGCATTTCCAAATTAATTGTCATCTGTAGCCTTCCGACAATCTCCATTCATAGCCTTGTTATTTCCACTGAAATTGCTTCATCTGTATGAAACAAATGTGCTAACCTATTAGGGATGATAAGAACTGCCGATGCTGGAGTCAGTTGCTAACCGATTAGACCACTTAGCATTTGCACAAGGTAGAGCAGTTTAATAGAGGAGTCTTTGGTCCATTGGTCTAATAAATTCTGGTTTCTTGAGAAAAGAAGGCCAAGGGATGACCTGGTAAAGCTATTTATAATTTGAAACAATTTGATAGAGTAATTAGAGACTGTTTTACATAAGTGGGAATGAGCATGACTAGAGGCCTTAGTATAGAATAGTCGCTGAGAAATCCAAAGGAAAGCTCAGAAGATGTACTTGGAATGTTGAAAATCTGGAACTCACTAGCACCGGAAGTGGTTGAAGTGAATGGTGTAAATACATTTAAACGAAAACTAGGCGAGCATATGGAGGGTTACAATGATACATTTAGACAAGGAAAGCTGGGAGGAAGCTCAAATGGAGCATATCACCAGCATAGATTGACTCAACCAATGACTTTTTTCAGTTCTGTATATGCTGTTTATTGTTACATTGATAGAATCAGAATTTTGCTTTTATATTCAAATTTTAAATACCCTTCAATTAGAGCACTTAGCACATTAAATATAGATAGTTGATTGAAGACAACTTAATAATGACCTTTTCTGAAATATGTTTCAAGTTATTACAACTAAGATGTAATTGTTGAATTAAAAATTAGTTTCGATGGCTAATTGGTGCTCAGTACTTTAGAGGGAGTGAGATATCTGTAAGTTGCTGTTGTTACTTAATGACTTGGGGACTGCCAGTTAGAGATATTTCTTCAAGATATCCTTTTGATGTTTTTTTCCAGTGTAAAGTTGCAAAGAATTCCCTGATAGTGAGAGAGTTTTCATAACCTGCACTTGTTAACTAACTTATTAAAGCAACATGCTGAAAAACTCTGACTCACTGTCTCTTTCTTTGAAGGTGGCAGATGGAGCTAATGCAATAGTGCTGGGACAGCTTGGGGAGATTCCCTCTCCACTGGCAATTATCGGAGGAAATTGCACACTCCAGGGTTTTGATCAGGATGGAAATGACCTCTTTTGGACGGTATGGAAACACAGAACTGTGCCGTGATCGAATTCCAGAATTTTGTTAGGAGGCAGGTAGGGGAGGTCACTACTGTAAAGTGCAATATACCCCTTCACCACCACCCATAACAATACTGGGCACCAGAAATGCACTAGCATTCCTTGCAGCTGGAATTACCAAGATAAAAGCAATAAGAAGTGCATTGTCCCCTTTACTTTACTTGTCCATTTTTATTGGGAACGTGGGACCAGCTCCCAAAGCATTTACCACTTATTTCACTTTAAGAAGATGGCATGCCTTCAGGCCAAATTTCCTGACATCGTGTTTAGTTCTGCAACTCAATCTATATTATCTGGTAGATAGATGTACTTTTTTAACAAAGGCAATAGTTAAAATTTGATTGATAATGCTATCCCAATCTCATGCCTGCTTCTAAAGCTTCTTTCATAGGCAGTTGAAATGTATTTCAAATTGGTTTGAATACATTGTACACAATCTGCTTTCAAAAGGTACTCGTGGGCATATTTAATGGTGTCTTAAGTTGACTGCCCACTATTGAAGAAGGGTTGAGCAAATGATTTTTGCTCAATGTGACGAATGGAGTAATGGCAAATTCTGCACCATTCTGCATTTAACATATGCAATCTAATTTTCTACATGAGTACAGTAGGTTTCAATGAAATAAATCTCACTAAAGTGCCAGTGACTGAAAAGCAGTAAGTTATTTGCCCTATTGATCAGTTTGAGAACCTTCAATGTTTATCACTGTCAAGTGAAATCATTACAGAAGCTCTGATGTTTGTTTCCATTTCGAATGTTTTGCTTGTCACAGGAATGTTTTCATAAAGTGGATCCTTTACTGGCCTATTTGCAGAAATACTGTGTGTGACTAACAGCAAACCTTTTAGGACCATGTCAAGCAGCAAGGTCAGATCTCACTGGCTTCAGTTGAAACTGCCATGGTCCTTCTGTAAAGCATAGAAAACCCCATTGCTGCTTTATTGCACTGCACAATTTCTACTGTTACCCTTTGCACTCTTGACTCTAACAGCAATTACCCAAGTGTGGACTTCTTTGACAACGAATATTGAGATCATCCATTTAGGTACCTCTGCTTCCCAGCCCTCACTCCACTCTTTTCATTGTCCACCAAACAAACTCCTTCCCAGCTTCTGCCCTTGTGCTGACTCATATCTTTTATTATTATTATTATTCTATTATTGTTATCTTCTATTATTACACCTCATACCCTCTCTGAATTAAGTGTTTAGATTTCCACATGTATCCCTTCCACCCCAGTCCCATTAACAACTAACCATGCTCCCTTGCCATTCCGCATACAAGCTGAAATTGTAAACAGTCACCCCTCAGGTACAGTCCATCTCTTTCAAACTTCCATCATCTTGCATTTCCTCACAAAACCTACCAGTCACCCTTTCTTCTGTCTGCTACCCTATCTTCAACCTCCCTTTCCTCTCCAATATTTGTCAATATGTTTAATCTCTAAAGTCTGTGCCACTATTTCATAAACTCTATGTTTAAATCACTCTAATCAACATCTGTACCTGCCATAACCAAGACAGCTCTAATCAAAGTCAAAAAGTACATCGTTGTGACATTGATACATTCCCTTTCCTCATCCTCTTCAACCTCTCAGGAACCAATGGCTGGTTGATGACATCACTTACAGTGCCATTATTATCCCATCACACAGAAGCTCTTTCTTACGTGTCCCATTGACATTATTGGTCTCCGTTGCCTTCCAATATTTAAGATGCTTGAATTGAAAATTCCAATCCTTTATATTTATAACCTGCCTCTATAACCTCCTCCAGCCCTACAATCTGTACTGACAGTGACTTTTGCTTCAGTTTCCTCTCTTATCCCACCACTGGCAATCATGCCATTGACCGTCTTACCTCCACACTATGTACCCTTTTGTCGTCTTCAACATTTCTAACACCCTCTTTAAAACTCACTTAATTGACCAAGTTCTTATTCATCTGTACTAACAACTCTTTATGTTTTTATTAGTTTTCCACTTTTGTCTAATAATAGCTCTGAAGTGAGTTGGGATATTTAACCTATGTTAAAGGCACTGTATGGATTCAAGTTGTTCTACAAATACAGGTGTGCAAGGATGCTAATGCACAAATGCTCATGCAAACCTAATGTCCAAATCTCCAAAATATTTTCCTGATTTGGAGCTATCATCCTGACGTGGAGCTATAATGTCATTCCTTCACTGGGTCCTAGTATTCCATCCCTAAGAACATTGGTTGTATCTGTACTGCATGGGCTGAAACAATTGAAGAAAGACTCCTCTAATTTTAAAAAATCAAAATTCAACCTTCTATAGAGAAGCCAGTAATTTAAAAGGTTTCTACATATCATCAATATCAATTACATTATATAAATCAAAATGCTTGAAACAGTTCAAGTTGGAAATGCTTGTGTTTTTCACTTAGGTCACTGGGGACAATGTCCGATCACTGGCACTCTGTGACTTTGATGGGGATGGGAAGAAGGAGGTAAGTTTGCACTATTCAATTAAAAAGCCATTCTGAACAGGAGGAAAGGAAGTTTATCAATTAAACACATTTGATATGTTATCGGTGGATTAGACATTTTGGGGTAGAGATATCTGGACATTACAAAATTTGCCATATTGATATGCATGTTTGTTCAGTCATACCTTTTAACTATCTCATTTTTGGACATCCCAATGCTAAGTAGTATCTCTGATTAAAGCAGTGAGGGCATGTAAACTGAAACCGGGGCAGTCAGTTAATTTCCCAGGTCAATGAAAAGACTTCTCAACACACTGGAATGAATATGATGCTTTACTACTGACACATTTTAATGCTTTTCACAGCTTCTGGCTGGTTCAGAAGACTTTGACATCAGGGTCTTCAAAGAAGATGAAATAATGGCAGAAATATCAGAGACAGAGGTAAGGAGGATTCTCTTTAAGGTGTGACAATGAAGTATTGGACCTATCTGAAGTTGCCATGACTGCGGATGGAAGAAACTTGAAAAGGAGAATAGAAAACTTAGCCTTCAGTACCATGGACTGTAGTGAGAATGAAGGGTATTGAGATGTTAAGTTTTTCTGTCAGTGTTGCTTTGGAAAAGCTGCTACAGGTGCCAAGGGTAGTTTATGATTCAACTATTGCTTGGACATAAGTAGTTGCTGCTGCACAGTGACAAACTCAACCAAGGTCAAGACTTCCTTCATTTAAAATGTCACTTCCATTAATTGTTATGACTGTTAAAAGGTACAGCAGATTGAAAACCAAACAGAGGCCAGTGCATCATGTTCTTAAAACAGTAGTTCTAATGGTCAGAAGTACGTTCACAGATCCATTAATAACAGCAATTACAGTTTAATGTTCTTAGCGAATGTTGTCTAGAATTGCTAATAGCGTCATTAAAGAATGTATCTGAGATACCAGTATCTAATAGTATTGGTTGTGTTAAACATGTTCATTGTAGGCAAGCTGGTTATTGTTATGTCCATTTAAAAATCAATTGCAGTTTTCACCCGGCTCAGATTACTGGACTAGTGATCCGGGGCCCAGACTGATGTTCCGGATACACAAGTTTAAATCTGACTGTGGCAGTTGAGAAAGTTTAAATTCAACTAATCTGGAATAAAAGGCTAGTTTCTATATGGTGATTGTGAAACTACAAAATTGTCATAAAAACTCACCTGGACACTAATGTCTTGTTGCGTGGAAATCTGCTGTCCTTAATCTGGCCAGTATTTGATAATGAACTCTCAGCTTTGTGGTTAACTCTTAAATGCCCTCTGAAGTGGGCTAAGACACCACTGTCTGTATCAAACTGCTACAGAAAAATCAAAGCAGAATAAAACTGGATGGAACACCCAGCATGGACCTAGTTACCAGAAAGAATAAGGGCAGTGCCCAGTTTACTCTGCAACGGCCTCCTGACTAACATCCTCATATCCCGTAGAGAATTCAAGCAGCAATCTGACAGTCATACTGAGCATCATATCTCCTCCTTAATCATCCTTGGTATGTCCTATCTCACCAGGAAGCAAGACCCACCTGAAGGGTGGCACAGAATCCAGGAATTCTGAGGTGAGAAAATCACCTCCTGACTCCCCATGGTCTTCCAATCATCCATAAAGCACAGGTTAGGAGTATGATGAAATACTGTCGACTAGCATCAATGACTGTAGCTCTAGTCATGCTCAAGAAGTTTGAACCATCCAAGGCAAAGGGATCTGCTTGATCACCATCTTACCTCCTACCTTAAACATTAATTTTCATTACCGCTGACACATGCAGTAGCTGTCTACAGCATCCTGCAAGACATATAGCAGTAACTCGTCATCTTTGTCAGCATCATCTAAAGCTGCTGCTGCTACCGCCCACAAGGACAAGAACAGCAGACGTGTGGGAGTGCCACCATCGGCAAGTTTCCCTCCAAGGTACACATCACTCTAGCTTGGAAATATATCACCGTTCCTTCACTTTTTTTGCCTGTCAAACCCCTGGAGTTGCCTTTCAGTTGATATTTTGGGTGTATCTACAACACTTGGGCAAAATGGTGGCTCATCACTTCTTTACCAAGGGCAGTTAGAATGGGAAATTAATGCTGGCCCCGTCAGCTATGATCAAATCCGGAAAATGAATTAAGAACAGTGTTTTTACTGTATGAAGTTGCAAAGCCGGAGTACAAGCAACATGCTGCTAGATCATGGAAATCAATAGTTAACGAAGGATTTGACACTAATTTTGTCATGATTCTATTCTTAACCTCCCATCAAGTCTTTGTGTCAAAACCTTGCCTTGATCATCTAAAATGGTTCAATTTTTACCTCTGTCAAGTACCTCATTAAACCATGACTATTTTCAACTTTATTTTGACGAAAAGTACATCAAACTTTTTGGGTTTTCCTTTTTCAGACTATCACAGCACTGTGCCATATGCATGGGAGTCGGTTTGGGTATGCTCTGGCAAATGGCACTGTTGGAGTTTATGACCGGGCTACACGCTACTGGAGAATTAAGGTATATGTAAATTGTGCGGTTTATGCTGACAAACCTCTACTAAGTGAACAAGTGCATTGGCTATAGCATACCCCTGTTCCTATTTCTTATGGTCTTATGACATCTAGTAACAGAAACTTATACATATCGTGAGAGATATCGGAGACAAAGTGCAAACATTAATAATCACTTGTTGCTCATGTTAGCAGGTAGAAAAGTAACTTTAAGTTACCATTGATTGTTTTTACAATCTTGACATTTTGATTTTTACTTGCATGCAGCCAATTGCACTTATAACTGACCTGTTTTGCACATTTCATTTCTTACAGTCTAAAAATCATGCCATGAGTATTCATGCTTTTGACTTGAACTCAGATGGTGTTTGTGAGTTAATCACTGGCTGGTCAAATGGAAAGGTTAGTCATTGATGTTTATCTGGCGCAATTGATGGGAGAGATATAGTGGTGAATGTTGAATGGCTAGCAGATGATTTTAATTTAGCAATTCATGTTCAGATAATATTGTATTTTAATACTCCATGAGAAAACCTTGAATAACCTGTGTAACTTGATGCCACACTTGAATACCAGTTACCTGATGTTTATTATGTACAGTTTTAATTGAGGCTATTTATCGCCTTCAGATGTTTAGTGCAATGTGACATGGGATTTGTCAGCTTTGATTCAGCATCTTATGGAAGAATAGAATAATGATTAATGGTTATGTGACAAAATAGGACAGTTATGTGACAAAATGGTTCAAATCCTTTTGATATAATTGGACTGTGGCATATGACCTGGTACAATATAGGGTCATATGTGACGCAGTTGGACTGTAACATGCAGTCTGGTATGATATAATTGGGCAGACACAGGGCCAAAAGATGGGCCATTGATTGGGGGTGCTAACCTGGTCTGACTATAGCATAATTGTTACTGCTGACTCATTTGAATTACAGAATGCTTTACCCTCTTCATACTACCAATAATGATCTGGTCAGGCTATTGGCCTACAGGATTGCTTTAAAGCAGTCTAGGCTAATCTAAGTATTTCTGTTCACAATTATTTAGGAAGAAGGTGAGTTTCTATAAGAGATTGCACAGGAGATTTACCAAAATGGTTTCAGTCATGAGGGATTTTATTTGAAAGGTGAAGTTAGAGAAACTGTGGTTGTTCTACTTGGAGCAAAAGAGATTGATAATACATTTGACATGATATGACAGATTTTATCAAAGCAGACAAAGAAAAGTTGTTCCTAATAGTTTATGGTACAAGGGCAAGGGAACATTTATTTAAGGTTTTGGACCAGAGAAGTAGGTGGACATGCCAGGAAAAGGTGTTATATATAATGAGGAGTGATAATGATTTGAAACTCAGTACCGATGAGGGTGGTGGAAAGGGAGATGATTAATCACTTCAAAAGGACACTGCATGGGTACTTAATGGAATAAATATGCACAGATGTGTGAATAGAGCTTGAGAATTCGACTTATTGGTTACTCTGTAGAGTCAGCATGAATTTGTTGTACTGAATAGCCTCCACTGTGCTATTAGGAATCTATGGGCTGAATGGTGGGCCTGTCAACCAGTTTCTGAAACCTGGTGTCAATCTCTGTCAGCCTTCTTTTCTGTTTTATTCTCTCACAGGATGTGGGTGTTACTGGCTGAGCCAGCATTTATTGTCCAACCCTTGTTGTGCTTGTGAAGGTGCCTTCTTGAACCAGTTCATGACAGACTAAGACAGAGCAGACATGTCTCCTGCTCTTCACCGGACTAAGGAGTTGGGTGAATGTTCACCTCCCTACCAACCTCTTATCCCCATTAATTTTGTTCATGCTTCACTATTAGTTATTAGGATTGCGCAGGAGATGAGGAGTGACCTTACAGAGGTTTATAAATTCATGAGGGGCATAGATAAGCTGAATAGCAAAGGTCTTCTCCCTAGAGTGGGGGAGTTTAAAACTAGGGGACGTATTTTTAAGGTGAGTGGAGAGAGATTTAAAAGGGGCAACTTTTTCACACAGAGCGTGGTTCATATATGGAATGAACTGCCAGAGGAAGTGGTAGATACGCGTACAGTTGTAATATTTAAGAGACATTTGGATAGGTATCTGTAAAGGAAAGGTTTGGAAGGATATGGGCCAAATATTGGCAAGTGGGACTGTTAATTTTCGGAAACTTGGCTGGCATGGACAGATTGGACCAAAGGGTCTGTTTCCGTGCTGTATGACTCTATGAATGTAGAGGAAAGGAAATTATAACACAGTTGTGGTCTGCATTTGAAGACAGGAGGACACACGGACAAGATTTGTTGCAGTACCGGGTCACCAGACCCATAATGTTAACTCTGTTCTTTTTCTTCACAGATGCTGCCAGACTTGCAGAGCTTTTCCAGTAACTTTGTTTTTGTTCCTGATTTACAGCATCCGCAGTTCTTTAAGTTTTTAAGATTTGTTGCAATACAGGCTGCCTGCAGCAAAAGCTGTATGGTCTTTGAAAATCTTGGAGACAAAGTCTCTCAATACTGCAGACCACTTTGGAGAACAGGGCTTACCTAAATGTGGGATTGCTAGATTGGTGGACAATGAGTCAGTTTTGAGTCAGGCAGGAAAGATCTTTTGAAGAGTTCTTGGGGGCCATTGTGCAGTCAAGACAAAAAGAGCAAGAAATGGGAAAATTCTGCCACTGGGAGTGTGACAAAAACCTGAACTGCAACCAATATAAAAATATTGTGAAGAGAACTTAAAAAAAACGCAGCAACATTGCCAAGTACCTCTAAGCCAGGGATGATGTAAAAGGAAGGGAACATCAGGAAGATGACTACCAAATTGCCCAGCATAAGTGGGAAGGTCACAGATGTCGTATCCAAATTAAGGCTTTATAAACAAAGGATAGAATTGTGCTTTTCAAATTTATCAGTCACAGAATTGAATAAATAAGTGGTTAAAACTAAGATAACCATCAGAAATGAGAGGCTGCATAAAGTCATTACTTTGGGCCTGTCTGAGGATGATCAGAATGACCCTGCTGTACTGTGGAATGTGCAGGAGAATTAGCTTTCTGCACAGGTAAACTGCAGACAAGCCATTTGGAGCTGTTGGCTTTACAGACAATGGGAATCAGTCAATCAGTTCATTAGCAGGTCCTGCAATTTATTTTGGAAGCCAAGCTGTCTCGATGGATAATAGAGCTAATCATAACTTCAATGCAGATCAAAGCTTTCAAGGAAGACCTTTTGGAGAAAAAGAATGGTCACAATATGGTCAGACTGTTAAAAGACAGCAGAAAATATGAAGTCAGTTGCTGAACAATAATACCAAGTATTGGTTGCAGCTACCAGTACTGGCAGAGTAGCCAAGATGCAGAAACCAAACAAGCAATGTGAGAAGGGGCAGCACGGTGGCTCAGTCATTAGCACTCCTGCCTCTTAGCGCCAAGGACCCGGATTCGATTCCAACCTCGGACGACTGCCTGTATGGAGTTTGCACGTTCTTCCTGTGCCTGCTTCGGTTTCCACTGGGTGCTCCAGTTTCCTCCTACAGTCCAAAGATGTGCAAGTTAGGTGGATTGCCCATAGTGTTTAGGGATGTGTAGGTTAGGTGCATTAGCCTTGGGAAATGCAGGGTTATAGGCATAGGGCAGAGGAATAGGTCTGGGTGGGATGCTCTTCAGAGGGTCAATGTGGACTTGTTGGGCAAATTGACCTGTTTCTCTACTCTGGGGATTCCATGATTCTATCTATTTATAGGTATGGTATCCTGCACCCGTGTTAGCTGTCCTCTGCTCCAAGGCTTTTCACAGTCTGTGGCATAAGAGAACATTGGGTTCACCAATGCAGGAGACCTGGTCCTGAAGAGTTCTTGGGGGCCATTATGCAGTCAAGACAAAAAGAGCAAGAAATGAGAAAATGTTGTCCCATTAGGTGAACAGCACCAATTAGAACAAGGGGTATAAATCTCAGTCCATGAACCAGTCAGCCCAATTCATTAAGCAGCTATGAAAACAACAGATAAAGTTATTTTTGTAATAATCAGCTGTTTCTTTGAAGTTATTCACAAAATTAAGGAAGAGATTCTAATTAAAGATTCTTCAGATAATCGTAGAGATAGATTTCAGCATAATTGTGATATACATTTAACCAAAGCATTAGGAGGAAAAACATCTAAACCTCGACGTCAAAGTTAATTAGTCTCAGGAAACGCTTTCCTTATCTCTTAGAAAGATGCCTGGCACGTACTGAAGGAAACAGATTGTTTGCAACTTACTCATTAAAAAGTACAACTAACTTTATGATGGGAAATTAATACTACAAATCTTACAGCAGTCAGTAAAAACCAACTGTCTTTTGTATTTTTATAAATATAGGGGCAGCGGGAAATATGAGGAATAACAGAATTTGATTGAGATAGCATATGGAATACATTGAATAACAGAATTCAAGCAGTCCTTAGAGATAAGCAAGTCTGGAACAAACCCTAAGGACTATAAACAGTAATTTTGGAATGTGAATTAATATGATGCATAGAAAGATCCCAAGGCCTGGCAATTACAATGTCTGTTAAACATCATGAGATCATGGGAACCTGGGGCTGTCCACAGGAATGTCCATCATTGATGATGTGTTTCACAGGATTGGGTGTATGGAATAAGGAGGAAGGACACAGTGGCCATACTGTATGTGATTATTGTATCACAAAAGGTATAAAAATGCTGTGTTTCACTAAAAATCAGAGTGCGTCATTGATCTTTCTTCTGATCTGAGCCATAGATTAAAGAGAACGACTGGGTTCTCACGTTGAGGCCAGATACGGGGAAGGTGTTTGGCCCTCTCCCTGCATTAACCAGTTGTTGCTTGAATAAAAGTCTGCCATTGCCTGAATCCTGCCTGCCTCCTGAGTCTTTGTCCCCAGTAAGTTTGGGGGGTAACACTCCAAAACAGTCTGTATATCCTCAGCAGCACATACCTGCTCTTGTATTCTAGCCCTAGTAATTCCAGTAATGAATGCTAACGTTGTATTTACCTTTCTTTCTGCCAACTGAAACTGCATGTTAGCCTTAAGAGAATTTTGAAGTAGGACTCCTAAGTCCCTTGTAAGCCTTTCCCCATTTAGAAAATTGTCTACACTTCTATTCTTATGCCTCTACCAAAGTGTGTACCTTTTGTCATCTGCAGACTTGGCAACAATGCTCTCAGATCGCCTGTCCAGATTGTTAATGCCTGTGGAAATCCACTAGTCACTGGCTGCCATCCGGAAAAGACCCCTTTATCCCCAGTCTCTGCCTTCTGCCAGTCAGCCAATTCTCCATCCATGCTAGTACCTTGCCCCTAACACCTTTGGGCTTTTATCGTATCTAGCAACATCCTGTGCAGCACCTTGTCAAAGGCCTTCTGGAAATCCAAATAGATCATATCCACTGGTTATGATTTGTCTAACTTGCTCATTACCTCCTCAAAGAATTCTAACAGATTTGTCAGGTCTTACGTTCCCTTGTTGAAGCTGTGTTGAGTCCCTATTTTACCAAGTACTCTACAATCTCATCTTTAATAATGGACTGTTAAGATCTTATCAATGACCGACATCAAGCTACCCAGCTTATAATTTTCCTTCCTTTGCTTCTCCCTTCTTAAACATGGATGTTCCATTAGCGATTTTCCAGTCCTCTGGGACCGTACTTGACTCCAGTGATTCCTGAAAGATCACCACCAATGCTTGTACAATCTCCTCAGCTTTCTCTTTCAGAACCTTGAGTTGTAGTCCATCTGGTCCAGGTAATTTATCCACCTTCAGAACTTTTAGCTGCCCCAACACCACCTCCCTAGTGATGGCTGCTGTACAGTCACCTCTGCTCCCTTCACTCTCGAAGCTCTGGTATGCTGAGACCAAACAAAAAATATGTACAGCATACTGGCACCAAAAAATTCATAGGCAGCGATTTCCTGACATCCACCAAACTCTGGGTGGGGACAGAATTTCACGTCCCACCTGACTGCCATTGACTTTTCTTCAATGAGTTGTATTTAGTGTCAGATCATCTCTCAACTTTGTAAAATTTCCCATTGCCTGTAAATGTTATCAGTAATTGTATACCTGATGTCTTGTAGTGCCTGTGTTCTGCGCTACCATCTATGGTATAAATCTTTGGTGCTCGTTTATCAGATAAATGTAATCAATGGCTACTCAGTCTCATTATGCATTTAGTACATCTCTGCTTTTCAGGAATGCACCTCCTTCCAGGGAGGTAAAATTGGACAGCGGAATCTATAGTTCACTCATGCACCTGGTAACAGTCTTTATAAAAAGGCAGAGGATAAGCAGAGGATTGAAGTGAAACCTTGGAAAAGGGCAGGGAATTTACAGTCAGAAATGCAAAGTATACTTATTTACTTGCCATCTGTATTATTGGCATTAAGATGGATGATCATTATTGATACTGTCTTTGAATTACCTGGCAGATTGATGCACGCAGTGACCGTACTGGTGAAGTCATCTTCAAGGACAACTTCACCTCCTGTGTTGCTGGAATTGTGGAGGAAGACTACAGGATGGATGGACAGAAGCAGCTCATCTGCTGCTCGGTTGAAGGGGAAGGTAGACCATGCATCTTTCCCTGACTGAAGTAAATTCTAATCAGAAATTCACCATTAACCCCAATGTACTGTATTGTGTGTAGGGAAATGGCTTAGGTCTCTGAGATAGTGATAAGATATACAGATCAAATAGTACGAACTAGATCTGTGCTCTGCATCGAATTGGTTCATTTCATCTGGTTATGGTCACTTTAAGACAGTTGCAATTAGGTTGGAAAGAATGAAAATAGCATTCCTGCATTCTTCTGTCCAATGATTCTTTCTGGGCATGAATTATCAGCATATAATGATTTGGCTTTCACAGCCTTCTCTGGCAAAATTCAAAATTCGCCACTCTGACTGAAGAAATTCCTTCTTATGTCAGTTCTAAAGGTTTTCCCTTCACTGTGAGGCTATACGCTTGAGTCCTAGTCTCCTGCCAGTGGAAACATGTTCCTCATGTCCACTGCATCCAAGCCTCTCACTATTATGCAAGTTTCAATGAAATACATACCACGTCCTTCAAACCAGAGACCTCAACTGCTCATATGACCAGCTGTTCAGCCGCAGGATCATTCTTGTAAACCACCTTTGGATCCCTTCTAAAGCCAACACATCCTTCCTAAGATATGGGGCCCAAAACTGCTCTCAATATTCTAAATACTGTCTGAGCAGAGCCTTGTACAGCCTCAGCAGTACATCTCTGCTCTCATATTCTAGCCTTCTCCAAATGAATGCTAACATTACATTTGCCTTCCTAACTGCCATCTGAGCCTACACATTAATCTTAAGAGAATCTTGAACGAGGATTCCTAAGTCCTTTTGTGCTTCATATTTCCAAAGCCTTTCCCCGTTTAGAAAATAATCTGTGCCCTTAAACTTTCTACCAAAGTGTATAACCCCACACTTTCCCACATCGTATTCCTTCTGTCACTCATACGGAACTCCACTACAATCAATGGCTGCCATCCTGGAAAAGGCCTGTTTATCCCCACTCTCTACCTTCTGCCAGTCAGCCAATTCCCTTTTCCATGGCAGTACCTTGCCCTGAACACAATAGGATCTTACATTATTTAGCAGCCTCCTATATGGCACCTTGTCACAGGCCTCCTGGAAATCCAAATAGATCAATCCTCTGGCTCTCTTTTGTCTAACTTGCTCATTTTCTCCTCGAAGATTTGTAACAGATTTGTCAGAAATGATCTCCCCTTGACAAAGCCATGTTGAGTCAACCCTATTTAACTCTGCACTTCCAAGTACTCACCAATTTCATTCTTAATAATGGGCTGTTAAATCTTACCGATGATTGAGGTCAGGCTAACCGGCCGATAATTTCCCATCTTCTGTCCCTTTCCTTTTCTTAAACAGGGATGTTATATTAACCGTTTTCCAGTCCTCTGGGACTGTCCCTGACTCCATTGATTCCTGGAAGATCTCCACCATTGCCTCCACAATCTTCCCAGCCACCTCCTCAGCTATCTCCTTCAGAAACCTGGGGTGTATTTCATTCAGTCTGGGTGATTTTTTTTTTCACCTTCAGACCTCTCAGCTTTCCAGAACCTTCTCCTTACTGATGGCCGCTACATTCTCACCTCTGCCCCTGACTCACTTGAAGTTCTAGTATGTTGCTGATTCTTCCACCATGAAATCTGATACAAAGTACCTCATCAGTTTCTTTGCCATTTCTTTGTTCCCCATTACTACTTCTCCAGCCTCATTTTCCAGCGGTTCAATGTTCCACTCTTGCCTTTTTTTAACCTTTCATGTATCTTTAAAAAAACTCTATCAATCCTCTTTTATATTACTAGCTTACTCACATATTTCATCTTCTCCCCCTTTATTGCTTTTTTAGTTGTTCCTTTCTGGTTTTTAAAGGCTTTCCAATCCTCTGGCCTGCCATGAATTTTCACCACATTCTATGCTTTTCCTTTTCTTTTTATTCTGTCCCTTGTTCTCTTGTCAGCCATGGTTGCCTTGTTCTCCCATTAGTATGTTTCTTCATCCTTGGGATGAATTTCTGCTGTGCCTTCTGAATTACCTCTCAGAAACTCATGCTACTGCTGCTCCACTATCTTCCCTGCTTGGCTCTCCTTCCAGTCAACTCTGGCCAGCCCCCCTCTCATGTCTTTGTAATTACTTTGTAATACTGCTACATCTGATTCAAGCATCTTGCTCCCAACTGCAGGTGGATATTATCTTATGATCACTGCCTGCCAGGGGTTCCTTCACCTTAAGTTCCCTAATCAGTTTGCCTCATTACACTTCTTTGGGCAGAGAAGTGGCAGACGGAATTCAACCCAGAAAAGTGTGAAGTGAATCATTTTGGAAGGTCGAATTTGAATGCAGAATACAGGGTTAATGGCAGGATTCTCGGCAGTGTGGAGGAACAGAGGGATCTTGGGGTCGACGGCCATAGATCCCTCAAAGTTGCTACCCAAGTCGATAGGGTTGTTAAGAAGGCGTATGGTGTGTTGCCTTCCATTGGCAGGGGAATTGAGTTTAAGAGCCATGAGGTTATGCTGCAGCTCAATAAAACTCTGGTTAGACCACTTAAAATATTGTGTTCAGTTCTGGTCACCTCATTATAGGAAAGATGTGGAAGCTTTAGCGAGGGTGCAGAGGAGATTTACCAGGATGCTGCCTGGACTGGAGGACAGGTCTTATGAGGAAAGGTTGAGGGAGCTAGGGCTTTTCTCATTGGAGCGAAGAAGGATGAGCGGTGTCTTGATAGAGGTGTACTAGATGATGAGAGGTATAGATAGAGTGGATAGTCGGATACTTTTTCCCAGGGCGGAAATGACTATTACGAGGGGGCATAATTTTAAGGTGATTGGAGGAACGTATAGGGGAGATGTCAGAGGTAGGTTCTTCGCATAGAGAGTGGTAGGCATGTGGAATGCGCTGCCGGCAGTGCTAGTGGAGTCAGATACTTTAGAGACTTTTAAGCGACTCTTGGATAGCCACATGTAGGGTATGCAGGGTAGATTGTTCTTAGTAGGATAATAGATGAGCACAACATTGTGGGCCGAAGGGTCTGTACTGTGCTGTATTGTTCTATGTTCTATGTTCTACATCACCAAATCAAGAATTGCCTGTTCCCCAGTGGACTGTACACAAGTTACTCAAAAAAAGCTGTCACGCAGACATTCCACAAATTCCTTTTCTTGGACTGATTTTTCATATTGAATATTGATGTCCCTCATGATTATTGTAATAGTGCCTTTTTTACATGTCTTTTCTATCTCCTGATTTATTTTCTTCCCCACATCCTAGCTAGTTAAGGAGACTTGTACATAACACCCGTCAGGGTGTTCTGACCCCATATCACTTCTGGGTATCGATTTTAATTTCATTTCTTACTAACCAGGCAACTTTGGCCCTTTGCCCATTTGCCTGTGCTTTTGATAGTTTGCATATCCATGTATATTTAGTTCCTGGCCCTAATCCGCTTGTAGCCATGTATCTGCGATGCTCACTACATCATACCCGCCAATTTCAATCTTTGACAAACTCATTTCCTTTGCTTCATTTACTTTGCGCATTTAAGTACAATACCCTAAGTACTGCATTGAAAGCCCCTTATCCAGATAACTAGTTTAAAGTCCTTGTGACCAGATTTCCTCAGGGTAGTGTCCTAGGCCCAACACCTTCGTCTGCTTCATCAGTGAGCATCCCTCCATCATAAGGTCAGAAGTGGGGATGTTCACCAATTATTGCACAATGTTCAGTATCATTCACGATTCCTCAGATATTGAAGCCTTCCATGTTCAAATGTCAGAAGATCTGGACAATATCTAGGTTTGGGCTGATAAGTGACAAGTAACATTTGCACCACACAAATGCCAGTGTATGACCATCATCAATAAGAGACAATCTAACCAAAGTTCTTTGACTTTAAATGGTATTACCATCACTGAATACTCCACTATCAATATCCTGGGTGTTAGCATTGACAACACTTTCCAAACCCATAACCACTTCCACCTAGAAGGGTAAGGGCAGCAGATACATGAGATCACCACCACCTTCAAGTTCCCTTCCAAGCCACATGCCATCCTGAACTTGGAAATATATCACCGTTCCTTCACTGTCACTGGGTCAAAATCCTGGAATTCCCTCCCTCACAGCATTGTGGGTCAACCCACAGCACGTGGACTGCAACAGTTGAAAAAGGCAGCTCACCACCACCATTTCAAAGGCAACTAGGGACATGCAATGAGTGCTGGCCAGCCAGCAAAGCCCACATCCCACAGATGAATTTTAAAAAAAACCTCGATTTAACTCGATTTGTACCATTGGTTTGTCTATCTTATTCTGAATGCTTTGTGAATTCAGATACAAGGCTTTTAAGTTTGTTCTGTTACTGAGTTTCCCAACACTTATGTTTTTTGGTGCAATATGACATTCACACATTTTTTCCCTTTTTGTTTTCTGGTAACAATCTATCACATCACTAACAATTTTAAAACTTTACAGGATACGGTACCACCACCAAGTCACCGCCTTTATCGGAACAGCTCCCTCCTTCCCCAGTATTGATTCCCATGTCCTGTGAATTCAAACCCATACTTGAGGTAGTAATCTGGAAGTTAGTAACTTTTTGGTACTTCTTTTTAATTTAGCCTCTAGCTGCTCATATTCCCTCAGCAGAACCACTTTTTTTACTTCTCTCATTGGTACCTACGTAGACCACGACAACTGGATCTTTTCCTGTACTCCAAGTTCCCCTGCAACCCAGGTGAGAGATCCTTGACGTGGGCACCAGGCATTCAGCACAGCTTTTGGGAGCCTTGATCCTGGCCACAGAGAAAACAGTGTCTTTTCCCCTACTTTTCAATTACAAGTACATTTCTCTTTTTCTCCTTGCTTTTGAATGGCTCCCTGTACTAAAGTGCACAGCATGGTCAGTTTGCGCATCCTCACTACAGCTCCCATCCTCATCCACACAATGAGCAACAATCTGAAACCTGTTAGACAAGGTCCGGGGCTGAGGCTTGTTCAGTACTATGTTCTGGATCCCTCTGCCTGCCTCACTCATAATCATACCCTCCTATACCTGACCACTGACCAAATTTGAGGTATTTAATCAAAGAGTATGACTGCCTCCTGAATCACAGCATCCAGATAACGTCTTCCTTGCCCTCGTGTAGCAGTTTTTGAAGCTCAGACTCCAGCTCAATAACTCTGAGCCAGAGTTCCTCAAGTGACCAAGACTTGCCACAGATGTAATCACTATGAAGCACAATGGGGTCCACCAGCTGTCAAATCATACAGATAGGACACATCGCCTGGACCTGGACCTTATTCACTTAATTCTTAACACGTTTTTTAAAAAATTCCCACTGGTCTTTTTGTTTGTAATCTGTAACTATTTATCCTATTTGTCCTCAGTCTGAAAGTAACTTGTAATAGATAATCAAATTAGCAGCTAAATTAGCAAATTACCAAACAATAAACATACAGTTTTGCAATGATGTCACTTTGTTTTGTGCTGGGCCCCTGATCCTGGACTTCAATATATCCTGTTTTAAAACAAACCTTATAAACCATGAGCCAAAAAAGCAAGCGAAAAGCACCTCTTCCCCTCTGAACTGAATTCTTGCGCTGCCCCCAGTGTCCCCAAACTAATACTAACATGGGCTGTGCCTCATTCTGGATGTGATCTCTCCTTCCTAACTGTGAGAAGCCTGCTGAAACAAAAAAGGCATTCTTCCTTCTCTTCACTGCAATTGTCACTTTCCTGCCCTGTTTACCCAGCACCCTGACCAACACACACTTCTTCTTACATTAGAGAAGCATTGAAAATAGGAGCCGGCATGGGCTATTCAGCCTTTCGAGTCATGCCAGTCTGGATTTGGTGTTGTCAGGATCCCATTGCAATGTGTTTCTGTTGGGGAGAACCTATAGTCCCAGTCTGATTCCCAGGCCTCTATTGGTGAGTGGCCAGGCACCTCTTAGATTGTAATAGATTTCCCAGTTAAAGACAATTAGTGGACTAATGGTTGCTGCCCCCAGTCAAAATTCAGCCCATATCGTCCACTATCATTTATAAAAAGGACCCATTTGGCTGAGATCTCTATCAGGATTCAGAAGAAAAGGAGAAGTAGCTAATCTAGATTTCTTGTCTTTCACTCTGTAGTTCGAGGTTATCTGCCTGCTGATCAAGAGATGAGAGGGAATTTGATGGACACAAATGCAGAACAAGACTTGATCCGTGAGCTGAGCCAGCGGAAACAGAACTTGCTGCTCGAACTGCGTAACTATGAAGAAAATTCAAAGGTAGGTAGGACGTTAAACAACAATTATTGTTACTGATGTCAGATGTCAATTGTCATTTGCTGAAAACATTCTCAAAAGTGTTATAGGAATCGACACACTAAGCTCAAACTGCTATTTTTCTGCTATGGTCACTCATCTGGTTTGCTCAAATAAGTTTTTTCTTTCTGTAATTATCTTGCCTTCCATCCCTGTTCTGCAAGTACAATGTGTCTAACCGATGCTTTACTTGCCTTAGATGTGCTAGATGAGACAGTGTAAAGTGAAATTTAAGTCCTCCTGCATTTTGCTAGTGACTGCTTCTTCGGGTCACATACAAGGAGCAATACTCTGGCGTGGCAGAATGTCAGGAGAACATTAAGTAGGTGACTGATGAGCTAACCAAATGTGTACATTTTGCATTTGTGTTAGGTTGCCTTGAGTGCCTTTGGTGGAGACGGGGATGGACAGATAGGCATTATTCCAGCCAATACACAACTGCAAACAGGCCTTTCTGTCAATGTAGACACTGCCAACCAACGTCCTCATGTAGAGCTGAGCATTTCTACATCCAATGGTGAGTCTGCCTTGCCTTGAGACATTTTAAGCTGCAGATAGCGAGAAAACATCAATGAACAGGGTGCCTATCTGATATTGTATTGAATGGTTTGGCCTCTTTGGTTTCTGATTTGGAATTTTAAAAGTTAAATTGTGACTATAATATTGCAGTAATCCATCATTTTGTATATTAACATGATCAAAATTTTTGAATCAGTTGTTTGGTTGAATCTGAATGCCACTGATCATGCAAAACGGAAACAATCTATTACAAGCCAGTAATTGAGAACAATAATTGTGTTCTAATGATGGCATTATTTCTGCTATCACTATTTTAAGGAAGAGAATGGGTATTTTGCCAGTATCTTAGCAAACAGCTTTTCCTCAACTCTCATCACTTGGGAAAAAATGTCTGGTTATCGCAAGTGTGATTTTTACGTATTTGCAAAGTGGTGCATTAGTTTACTGAAACTTATTTGTAATTTTTTCAAACACAACCCCTGTACCTTATTCAAATGTTAATAAAATATTGGACAACATGCAGGGGTGTGGGGAAGCATCTGCTGTACTTGCAAAACCTTACTTCTGCCTTTATATTCACCAAGCTGGTTTTCTCAGCTCCTTCCAGGTAAATATGGGTGATCTTTTTAGATCTAATTGTTTCTTCATTTTATAAAGTGTGTGTCTTTATATAGATACCATTATTCGGGCTGTGCTTATCTTTGCTGAGGGTATATTTGACGGAGAGTCTCATGTGGTTCATCCCAGTGCACACAATCTCTCAGGACAAATCTTTGTCCCCATCATTCCACCCAAAGATATCCCAGTGGATCTGCATATCAAGGCTTATGTGGGCTACAGAAACAGGTGAGCAGTGGGGCAGTAAGGTACAGGTCTGGTTGTGCCCTTCAGAAATGGCATTATATGTAAATTGCAGATGCTTTTATTTCAATACAGCTTAAAGCCAACTAAATAGAGACAGAAAACCAAAAAACTGCAGATGCTGGAAATCAGAAATCGCTGGAAAAACTCAGCAGGTCTGGCAGCATCTGTGGAGAGAAAGCAGAGTTTGCATTTTGGCTTCAGTAACCCTTCTGAAAAAGGGTTACTAGACCCGAAACTTTAACTCTGCTTTCTCTCCATAGATGCTGCCAGACTTGCAGAGTTTTTCCAGCAATTTCTGATTTTGTTTCAATAGAGACAGATAGATGCCACTATTTGTAGATGTGAAAAGTACACTACAATGGGATGCCATTGTGAGCCTGCCTAAGGTAGAGTGTCAAGCCTTTGTTCATGTGCATTGTGGAGGCAAACATTTACTCTCCAATGTATTATAAAGTGACAATATGAATATTAATTTTCTTCAATCTGTTTGCAAGGGAAAATGTGAGGCATAAGACACAGACATAACTATCCCATGTTGGAGAGGGAGGCGAGACAGATCTGTTGTAACTTAGGACCATAAGTATATAGAAATTTACTGAGGCAGTGTGTCAGTTTGCTCAGTTGAATCTGAGCTGAAAGGATAAAATTTAAAGCTGTTCCTCGGAATTTGACCACGTTTATATTTGTGCATACCGAGAAAGTTTTACATTGTTAGAGCTCTTGTCTTTTGGACAAAACATTAAACCAAAGACTGTCTACCTACTCAGTCTGTGGCATTGCTCAAAATAGTATCAAAACAAATTAACTTTTTACTGTGTGTCCCTATTAAAAAGAAGTTTGGTAACTGGCTGGAGTAAGGTTATTAACAGGAGAGAGGGTAATGATTTGGGAGCAAAAGGATGGATTGCTATGATCAGTTGAATGGTAATGGCCTAATCATGTTCCTATAATGCATACTTATTTTTGCTGTTTGAGAGTTTTTGTGTGGAATATCAGTAATTTTTATTAACATGACCATTAATGTAATTCACACTCGTTTATTATGTGAATATTGTAAGTTTCTGAGATGTGAATAAGGGGGTTTACTTTAACAATTAAGGGAATTTATAATAATTAGATGCATTACTGTCTCACCCAGAGGAGGGCAATCAGTAATGTCTAAACATAACCTAGAAACAGTTTCAATTTTTCTGCAAGTGTATAAGTTACAGGACATTACTTAGTAACCTGTGAGAACTTGATCTCTTTACTGTAAAAATCAACTCTGAGAGAGTCGATACCAATGAGAAAACGTGGCTGTAAAATTATATTGTTGTACCGTAGAAGCAAAAGTAATGCAGAGTTCTGTGGATGAAATTGGATATATTGTGATATTTTTACTTAGCATGCAGTTCCACGTATTCGAGCTAACAAGGCAGCTGCCTCGATTCTCAATGTATGCCCAGTGCACTCCAGGGACTGCTTCTGAACCTCAGAGTTATGTCACCTTCACAGTCAGTGATCGTGTGCAGAGGGTAAGTTAGAACACTTCTTTATCACCACCTACATCTTATGTTAGTTATTCTTAATTTAGAAACCAAGATGAAAGGCCACAGGTTTAGTAAAGCTGATTACCATTAAAATAACTGAGGGTATAATAATTAAGTTTTGCCAAGCATGTAATTTTGAATGCTGTAGGAACAAGTAAAAAGCTGAATATTGCCAAGATTTAAAATACTTGCAAAGAATGAGTTGTGGATTCATCAGAAGGGGCAAGAGGTGTGTGATGAACTAAAACTCAAATTGAAGAGTACAATTAAAAGATTAAGCTGGACGGGGCTGTGCAAAGGAGAGACTGAAAGTATGAATAGGAAGTGCACACACTTTAAAACACTGTAATGAGCCTTTGAAATCCCCCTGCATCTCTGCTTAATGCACAATCTCTACCAAGAACTGAGTCCATCTCCGCAACAGCCCTCCCCACTCCAGACACCTTCATAGATTGCTCCTTTTTCTCATTTCATCTCCCTGGTTGTAGGCTTTCCCAGATGACATTGAGCCAGATGTTCAATTTTGCCTGCTGGTGGGCAAGAAAATGCAAATGCAGCACAGCTATTACGTTCAGCAGACCTCCCTGTTACCCACATTTCTGCGTCTGTAGGTTGCTGCTGCTATAAAAGAGTTCTATCAGGTTTTCCCTCTTTAGCAGGTAAAAGAACCACAGCACGTTTAGTCTTTCCTAATAACTATATGCATATAGTTATTAGGAAAGACTAAACATGCTGTGGTTCTTTTACCTGCTAAAGAGGGAAAGCCTGATAGAACTCTTTTACGACAATGACTAGGTTTGTTAGGAGAAATGTTTCCATGTGCGGGGACCAAAATTAGAGTTAATTAATGTAAATATACGAAAGCCATTAAATAATAGGAAATTCAAAAGAAAACACTTAATGGTAAGAACGTGCTGTGCATTGCATGTAATATGTTTCTCACTGTAGTCGCCTCTGTAGTAGCTACCATTTCATATAACCTTTTTCTTTGAAACACATTACTCTCGATGACAGTCAATCTTGGTGGTTCCTTGGAAAAAGAAAGATGTTTGCCACAGAAGCAGAGCAAGAAAGACAAAGAGAAAGATAGAAAGTCTGCTCAAAGTAGTGGTAAAAGCAGTGAAAAGTCAAGGAAGTGAAAAAGGGAAAATAAGACACTCAGGAAGAATGAGCACTTTTTAAAAACAAAATTCCAAAACCATATTAAAAGTCAGTTATTGATCAGTCTGTTGATCAATTTGTGGTTGATGGGTAGTTGCATGACTTTTTGAGCTTTCTTCTCACCCTTCTGTCTTTGGCTTTCATTATCCACCTGTTTCAAAGCCAGCTATACTTTGGTGATGTGGGGTCATATGCTGGACCCTCCCTTCCTGGCCTTTAATGTCAAAACCAATGTTCTTCAAGTTGGTTTCAGGGTATCTTTAAAATGTTTCCTCCCGTCACCTTGGCATTACCTTCATGCCCACTTCATAAAATTACTGACACTCTGTGGCAAGTGGGTATGCAACAGGATATCCCTCTGAATTTAATGCCCACCATCGCCTACAAACCAGCTGTTGGTGGACCTGTTAAATTCAGTCCAGTGTGACTGTCTGAAGCTTTAGTTTCATTTGGGGAGGAATGGCTTAATGGTCATGCCACAAGACCAGTAATTGAAGGCCCAAGGCTAACATTCTAATGGAATGAGTTTGAATTTCAGTATGGTGAAATTTGAATTTAATAAAAGATCTAGCCCAGTGGCAAACATTGTCAATTGTTGTATAAACCTGCCTAGGTCACTAATATCCTTTAGGAAAGAAAAATTGCCATCCTTATGTGGTCTGGACTACATGTGATTTCAGACCCACAGCAATGTTGTCAACCCTAAACTGCCCTCCAGGCAACTAGGGATGGGCAATAAATGCATGACCAGCCAGCAAGACCCATATCCCATGATTGGATTAAAAAAAGTCTTCAAAACAACTAAAATTAAGCAGATGGCTGAATTACGAGAGATGGGTAGGTGTCATGTGTGTTGAGAATTAGTTGGTGCTCAGTTAACAGTTCCGGTTTAATCTATATGAACCTACCTGATGCAGTTACTGAGCATGAATTTCTTCTATGGTATGTAGAGAGCTGTCTGGTTATGCTTACCCCTCTCTGTCTCATTTTCTGTGCTCTTTACAGGTTGTGATGTGGATGAATCAGAACTTCCTCATACCTGATGACATTGAATGTACCAGTATACCACTGGATGTCTGCTTCACAACTCTAAGAGATGGTGGACAGCTCAACATTAAAATGAATGCAAATGGAGAGGTAAGATTAGTGTACTAAACTGACTTGAAAAAATAAATTTATTTTACAAACAATACTACAGACCTGTAGAAGTTCACAACAGAGAAGGATGCCACTGCAACCATCATATTCATGGACTGACATGCTAGAGTAATCCAACCTAGTGTCACAGTTTTGCTGTGTTTCCACAGTTTCATGTCTTCCTTGACTTCCAACATCTATCTCTTAAAAGATGCAATGGTGTTTGCTTCACTTGTATCTTGTGCCTAAACTTGATTTTCTTGGAGTAATTTTACAATAATAATCTTCCTAATTGGCTTACCTATCAGGGAAGGTAGTCTTCTCTCACTTACATTGTTAAATTTTTAAATAATTTTAAGAACCTTAATTGAATTTCATTTTATCCTTTCATTGCACCATTTTGAAGATCATCCAAGAATCTGAAATCTCTCCTCCTATTTGTAATTTGTCACCTCTGGTATTGTTTTGATGAGTCTGAACTGCTTATGGCGTTTATCTGTTTTGACTCCCCAGAAATGTACATACAACTCTACTGTTGCTTTGATGTTACTAGATTTCCTGTTGACAAGAGAGGAAACCTTTTGTCAGATTCCCTTTTCAGACAGCCTTGACTCTCCAATCAATGTAAGACGTTACTGTTCTTCATTGCTGAATGGGCCTTGTGTAGGAAAGCTGTTACAGCCTTCACATTAGTGCTGTTTGCCATGATTATCAGTGATGCAGTGGTTTAGATGAGAATAGGTGGATGAACCCAGTATTGAGGATTCATACTAATATGGACTGATTAAGTTAAATGACCTATTTCTTTGCTGTATGTCTAACATAATCCTATGAAATGTTTATATAACTCATCACAACAGGTCTAATCGATTATGTTTGTGCAAGTTTCCAGTCTTCTTCTTCAGTGTTGTCCAATATGGCATTCTTTGGATTAGATAAGGAAGATGAGCAATGCTATGACCCTGTGTCAATTTTCTGCCTAGAGTTCAAGACTGCCCCATTCAAAGGGTTTTGGAATGGCAAAACCTATCCACTATTTCAGTGACTCGGTACTGAGCATAGTAGAAGTGTGTTTATTACAAAATGTGAGGAGCCCTGAGCTTGTGGGGAACATGTAACCTGAAGTTTGTGGGTTTACGTTTTACTCCAAAGATTCAAATGTCTAATCTAGGCTGACATTTCAGTGTGTATGCAAAAATTCCACAACACATTTGAAGAAGTGCAGAGGACCTTTTCATGGTTAACATTTATTAGTCATTAAGACCTAAAACAGGTGCTCTGATGATTTTTTTATTGCCTTTTGTATACCACATTTCTTTACATTAAAAGAGGGACTATACTTGAAAGAATACATTAGAAAAAGTATAAATTAGTTGTGAAGTGCTTTTAGATGTTATAAGGTCATGAAAGATGCTGTGTTAATGTGAGTTCTTAATTTTCTTTTAAAGTGGATTGGTCTTTAATATTCTCTCCTGAAACATCGTTTAAGACTATCTAGAATCCCTACAGTATAGGGACAGGCCATTTGGCCCAACAAGTCCACACCACGTCTCCCATAGCTAGCACACCTAGCCTGCACATCCCTGGACACTACGGGGTAATTTAGCATGCCCCTCTTTGGAATATGGGTGGAAGCTAAAGGACCTGGAGGTAACCCGTGCAGACACAGGGAGAATGTGCAAACTCCACACAGACAGTCGCCTGAGGATGGAATCGAACCCAGGTCCCTGGAGCTGTGAGGCAGCAGTGCTAACCACTGTGCCACCATGCCAGCTAATAGAGTAGCTCATAGGAATTTGGAAAAGTTAACTCATGTGAATTTCCTTATGACCTCAAAGGCTTTAGAGAAAAATCTCTCCATAGGAAAAGTTCTCTATCATTCTGATCCTTTTTTTGATCTGTGTTATTTAAATTCAAAGCTTCTGTTTTTGCAGAAACCATCAATTGTGTGTCAAGGAGCAGTTGAGCTCTCAACTGTAAATATTAATGTCAGTAATTCTCTTACAAACGGTACGTGTCTCATTGAAACATTGAAAAATGGAGCAAAGTTAGACCATTTGGTCTTTCAAGCCTACTTGCCCATTCATAATGTCAGAGCTCATCATCCAACTCAATAGCATGTTCCTGCTTTTCGCCCCAATTACTATATCCAACTCGTTGAAATCATCCAATCTTCTGGAGGAACAAATTGCTGCAGATGCTGAAATCTGTAGTGAAAGCAATAAAAGCTGGAGGTCACAGTGGGTCAGACAGTATCCATAGAGATCAAGCTAACATGTTCAGTCTAGATGATTCTTCATCAGAGCTGAAGTGAAGTGTGATGCCCTCTGATGCCCTTCACCATGGATGTTCAATCCCTCTATACCTCCATGCCCCATCAGGATGGTTTGCAAACTCTCAGCCTGAGGCCTGAACATTCCCCATCCACCACCACCCTCCTCTGCCTGGCTGAACTTGTCTCCCTGAACAGTTTCTCCTTTAATTCATCTCACTTCTGACAAGTCAAAGGAGTGGCTATGGGCACTCACATGGGACCCAGTTATGCATGCCTCTTTATGGGTTATGTGGAACAATCCTTGTTCTAGTCCTATACTGGCCCCTCCCACAACTATTTTACCAGTACATCAATAACTGTTTTGGTGCCGCGTCATGCTCCCGCCAGGACGTTGAAAAATTTGTTTATTTTGCCTCCAGTTTCCACCTCGCTATAAATTTCATAATCATCCATTTCCAACAGTTCCTTTCCTTGACCTCTCTGTCTCCATTTCAGGGAATAAGTTGTCCACTGCCATCCAAGACAAAGCCACTGACTCCCATCACTACAGCTGTTCACACCCCATGTCCTGCAAGGACTCTATCCATTCTCCTCCTTCCTTCGCCTACGTCACATCTGTTCAGATGATGCCACCTTTCAAAACAGTGCTGCTGACATGGTTTCTGGTTTCCTGCTCACTGTGGTTGACAGTGCCCTCAACCTTTTCTGACCTATCACCCGTGCTTCTGCCCTTGTCCCCTTCCCATCACTCACAACAGCGTGATCGGGTACCCCTTTTCCTCACTTTTCATCCCACCAGCTTCCGACTTCAAAGGATCAATTCTCTGCCATTTCAGACAACTGCAGCAGAACGGCACCACCAAACACATCTTCCCCTCACTCCTCCATCTGCATTTCACAGGGATCGTTCTCCCTGGGACACCATAGTCCATTTCATGACCACCAACACCACCCTCCCTTCCCATGGTATCTTACCATGTAATTACAGAAGATGCAACACCTGTCCCTTCACCAACTCCCCTCCATGGGCCTAAACAGACTTTCCAGGTGAAAGCAGCATTTCACCTGTACCTCCTTCAGTCTTGTGTATTGTATTTGCTGCATCCAGTGTGGCCTACTCTACATTGGAGAAACCAAATGCAGACTGGGTGACCGCTCTGCAGAGCACCTCCAGACTGTGTGCAAGCATGACCCCGATCTTCCCATAACTAGTCATTTTAACACAGCATCCTGCTCACATGCCCACTTATCTGTCCATGGCACGCTGCAGTGCTCCAGTGAATCATAGCGCAAACTGGAGGAACAACATCTCCTCTTCAGACTAGGCACTTTACAGTATTCTGGACTTAAATATTGAGTTCAACACATTCAAATTGTGAACCAACTCCTATTTCTTCCCTTTCTTTTATCATTACCTGTTCTATTCTCCCATTTCTTCCCTTTCTTTAGTCTTCACTTGTTATATTCTTTGTCATCATGTCCTCTCCCCTCCCCCTACCCCTGTGGGACTGAATTGTCTTTCAAGTCTGGCAGTCAGACACACCGTTGTTCTGCCATTGTCGCATTCCTATTACTTAATTTAAACTATCGACATCTTTTTTCCACCAGCACCCTACACCACCACCCACCCCAACTATAGCGTAAATGCTGCCTTCCCCCATGTCAGCTCTAATGAAGAGTCATCTAGACTCAAAACATTAGCTTGCTTTGTCTCCATGGATCCAATGCTTTGGCTTCCACTGTGTATCGAATTCCCAAGGCTCACTATTCTCTGAAAAGAAATTTCTCCTCATCTTAGTTCTTTATGGTTTACCCATATCCTTAGACTGTGACCCACTAGTTCTGGACTCCCCTGTCATCAGGAACCTTCCTGCATCGTGCCTGTCTAGTCATGTTAAAATTTCATGGGTGTCTTTGAGACACCCCCTTATTCTTCTGAACCCCAATGAATATAATCCTAACTGATTCAACCTCTCTTCATATGTCGGTCTTGCCATCCCATGAGTTAGTCTGGTAAACCTGTTGTTGCAGTCCCATTACAGCAAGAATATTCCTCCACAGACAAAGAGACCAAAACTACACACACTATTCCAATATGTTTGCAACAAGACATCATTGCTCCTGTACTCAAATCCTCTTGATACAAAGGTCAACATACTACTTACTCTCTTGACTGCGTGTTCCACCTGAATGCCTACTTTCAGTGACTGGTGTACAAGGGCACCCAGATCTCATTACCCATGCTCCCCTCTCAATTTATAGTCATTCAGATAATAATACATCCTCCTGTCTTTGCTTCCAAAGTGAATGGCCTCACATTTATCATACATATGTTCAGGATAATGATTTCAAACCAAACCCTGAGCAACCTTCTTTACAATTATTCTTGCAAGATTTTTATTTCCAAGGGTCCTTCAGCACATTGATACTACATTATATGCTTATAGGTCCACTGTGGATTGTCACTTTGTTCCACTTGCAAGCATTTTTCTGTTATTATGGAGCTGTTTGTTCCAATTTTCCTGGTGGGGTGAGAATGGGAGAAAAAAGGTATAATTGTTCTGAAAACTAGCACTGACACCATGATGCAGATAAAATTCACTGTCCAGTTGACAATTTGTACTCTGTAAATGTGGATCCTTTTTATGACACTCATGCAGCTCTTGAATTATTTTTTGCAATCTTAGCGCTGAGAACTGGCTGTAATAATTGACCATTGATTGAA